GCGCAAGCAGCAATGACTTGATTGTAACGCTTGCGATCCATTGGCTTTCCGAACAGAATGTTGTCTTGAAGTGTGGCGTTCTGAATCCAAGCCTGTTGCGAAACGTATGCAATTGTTCCGGTTGTATTGACACGACCCGATAATCGGTCCATTTCACCCAAGAATGCGGAAATGATCGAACTTTTTCCTGCTCCGACGGTACCAACAACAGCAACCAAATTGCTTTTCTTCACTTGCAAATTGATATTCTTTAGGCAAGGTTCGTCATTGCCCCAACTGAATGTTCCATTTTCAATTGACAAAGGTGCTGCTGCGATAGCGAATGAAGATAAATTAAACAAATTGAAATTATTTTTGACATTTACAATGATATATTGTTACAAGTTAATATAGTTCTTACCATCAGATGGGTCATGTGATACATTTTGTGGGTCCAATTCTTCGCTGTTCATAAATTTGTTGATTCGGTTCACAGAAACACTAGTCTATATTTTCGATAGGTGTATAAGAATAGATTAGTAATTTATATATTTGGAGGATATGAAAACACACCAAAATATGCATGCAAGGCAAAAGCGAAGCACAAAGCACCCCAAAAGAGGATTCAATCAGATTAAATGCGTGCAAAGATAAGCAACAGTGACAAAGTAATCAATACAGATATTAGAAACAGTTGGCATGAATATAGATTTTGGTAGAACAATAACAAAATTTTCATAATCAAATTATAACAACTTTCCTACCGAAGTAGGTATCTAATCAAACCAAATCATAAAACACAAAACACAAACAATCGCATTATATTAGAAATCGACCATTGAGTACTTACTTGAACCAGATTCGAAATTAACATCGGCAACATTGACAGAGGAAACCGTAAAATGTTGAAAAGAGATAGAGAAACGAAAGCCGTTTTTGCATCCAATATGTTATTATCGTCAACAAGAACGAAACAAGCAAAGGACACTAGGGCAACCTTCGTTTCGAGAAAAAAATTACGTGTTCGCAGATTATTATTTTGTCCCACAGCCACATAGAAAATAGGAAAATGTAAATAATAAAATTAAGAGAGAATGGAGAGGAGTTTAGGATAGAATAATTTGAAAATTTTCAAGCCTATGAGAGATTTTTCACGATAAATAATTTTGTTGAGATTTGATTTGATTTTTCGTGTGTGAGAAGAGAAACAAGAGAATGTTATTTAAAGTTTAGGAAAATCGAATTAAATTCAGCTATATTGTTGTGAAGAAGAGCAAATTGTGAAAGAGAGAAACTTGTAAAGGGATGAGCAATAGTGACGAGACTCATATTTAGATGAGAATAAACCATGCCACCAGTTTGAAATTGGATAAATCTGAAGAACCAGTAACTTTGCGTCTTGCATACAATTCCGTTTTTGTCGGTTGGACAGCTCAATATACTTTACCTCGATCATGTATACAATCAGCAATGGCAACATAGCCAATGGCATCCGAATAATATCGAACAATGTGAGACAAACGAATGCTCTTTCAGCGGTTAAAATATGATCGTCTCCGGAGTAGACGTATGCAATGAATGTGACGAGTGACACCTTTTGATATTTAATGAATGTTTTTTTTGGAGGGAATTTATATAAAAGAAATGAATTTAAAAAAAAAATTCAACAAAAAGTGTTCATTAAAAATTGGCATTGTAAAATTGAAATCCAAATCTTGGCCTAAAATCTTTGAATTATCGAAAAAAGAAAAAAAAATCACGGAATGTTAATGATTCATACCAAGAACGGAGCACAAGACCAAATAAACGATGTTCCAGCATTCAAGTAGGCGGCTTCTTTCAACACCTTGATTTCCTTTTCACGAATTTTTTGCACTTGCTCCTCGAAGCTGGGCTCCCAAGCATACAGTTTAAGTACTTTGATTCCACTCAGAATTTCATTCATCAGTTTGACACGCTCGTCTTTGTTCTTCATTTGGCGAATTTGAAGAGATTTAATTTTATTCGCAATAACTCCGTTCACTGGGATCAAGATTATCATAACGGCCAAACCTGATTGGAAATAAATCGATGCCATGAACATCGATGTTTTATTTGAATTTTCAAAGTTCTACAACTCACCAGCCAAAACAGACGGTCCAAGCAAGTCCCACAAGAAGTAAACTGCCAATCCAATTTGCAATGGAGCTGACCAAAGCATGTTGATATAAGTAGTAAGATCCATGAATCGTTGCGCATCGACAGCCATCAAGTTTACGATTTCACCGACCGTGGATTCCTTTCGGGCTGTGTTTGATAGGCAAAGTGCCTTTTTGTAGATTGCTCCAACGAGTGCGGTACGGATTCGCAAACCAACCAAAAACATACGTTGAAAATATTGTGAGAGAAACAGAGTTTGTGTACTGGCCACAACGAATAAGAGCACGGCATAGAGAATACCACGCCACAATGGTTCTTGGTCTGGATTTGTTATATAAGTAACGGTTTCAGTTCCATTTGCACTATCTACTTGTTTTACTGCTGAGTTGTCAACAAAAGAAATGATGGCACGAAGCAATTGGGGTGATACAAAAGTTAGAACATCTTGTGTCAACTTCAAAATGGCGCCAAACATAAATGTTGGTCCGAATGCCTTGCAAATAGGTGGCAAAATAGATGCGATACGTTTCTTCTTTTGTTCTGGATTTATTGTGACACTGGCTGAAGTTCGTGTTTTAGTGTATTGAGCATTGCCAGTGAACGCGTTTTTGCTGTGGAAAAAGAATGAATAATGATGAGTGGACGTTAACGGATAGGACTTATTACTTGAAATTGTAACGAAAAATTGATAATTTCATCAAGCACTTACAGATTATAACCGGAAGCCTTGGCAACAGCTCGATCCCAGTATTTCAAGAAGACTGGCATCACTTCCTTCGATGAATCTTCTGGATTCATGTCCCATAAATCGCTTTGTTCAAGTGGTTTGCGATATCCTTTCCATGCCAATGCGTCGAACCAAGCGTACGAAAGTCGAGATAGAAAACTGGCTCCCAATTCAGGATATGGCTTGTTCGATTTCGGATATTTGGTTTGACGCGGTTCGCGATCAGCATAGCAGT